GAGAACAGGAATATTTCTGTCCTCCTCTTTCCACAGCCTCTTTAGGGGCTTTGAGATTTAGTGCTTTTAAAATGTTCTGTAGTGAAAGCAGACAGCAAGAGCTGTGCCTGCCTCCACATCTCTAGACACTGCTCCCCCCATGCCATCAAATCTCTTCGGACTGACTTACACAGTCAATGTTATCCGACATGTTCAGGATGATGTAGTTTTTCCCCGCAAGGTTGCTCCAGTCTTTGCAGATGACCTGGAAAGACAAGACAAAGACAGCTGGGTTTGGGAAGCAAATACAGCTCTACTGCTGAAAGCACAGGACAGGGGACAGGAGCAAGGAGCTGTGTCATACCCCAGAGAAGTGCTTCTCAAGGGATGTCTCTGTCCTTTAGCTCTTTGCACTAAAGAGGAAACACTATTTCAGTGCCAGCTCATGGGGCAGGGAGAAGGTACCATGCCAGTTTGCCACAACCCAGATTACCTCCCACCTCTAGATAGACTCCAGGACTCAGATAGTCAGTGGAAAACTCTCCAGCTTGCAGCCTTATTCTGTATGTGATCAGCACTTAACACAAAACCTAATCAGGAGCCTCTGTTGTACTTAAGCAAACTGGTGAGACAGGGCAGCATTTTGTAGGCAGGATGGGACACCGAGGAACAGTCACTTGCTCAGGGTCCTGAGTACCATGGGGCAGAAAGCAAAATTATAAGCTTTCCCCCGTAATTTCCACCAGCCAGCTCCTGCTACTTGTCTTCACTTAAACAGCTGCCAACTTGCTGGATTTGGGAACTGCAGCTCACCTCACACCTCTTCTCCCGAGAGCTCTCCTAGACCAACATCCTCACAGATCGCTCTACCCTGCTCCACCTGCTTGCATCTGGTCCCTGCAGGCAGCAGCAAAAATAGCACTTCCTTCTCACTCCCTTTCCAGAAATCCTAAGGGCCACTTTTGTCTTGACACTTTCAATAATGCAGGCTGAGGAAACAAGGAGCTTTCACTGCTGTGCATGCCCCAGAGGGCAGGTGTTTATTAGAAGCAGGATTCTGAGCAGCACTATGCTAGGGAATATAAAAGAGGGCAGAGCTTTCACCATGGATGAGGATTTTACCACACATAAGTGCTGTGAAAAAGATCCCCCAAAATTCAGTTTTGGCTGGGTGAACAGAAAAGATCTTCCACCAGTCAGACTTATAGAGGTGGGTTAGGTTATGGAGTCAAATGCTTTGCCCTAGAGAGAAGTACCCAAATATCTCCACTGAAACCTCTCACCCAGTCCCTGCTCCCAGTGCTACCTGTGCTGAGTCCCAGGGCATCTCTGTTGGCAGCATGGCCATGCGGGCATCCCCAGCCTGTGGTGACAAGCTCCTCTCTGCTGCTACAGTCTCAGTGGCTGACTCGGTGTCATTCCAAATGGAATCTGGTGCAGGCTCCTCAGCCCTGTCCCATTGAGATGCAGAAGTGGGGTGCAGCTCAGTGCCAGAAAGAGTCTGGGTGTCAGGGAATCTGCCTCCAGGAGAGGGTGTCCTCACAGGCATTTGTGCAGCCTGCTCCATCTCAGTTAGCACTGTGGGCTCCAGCATCTCCCAGCCCACTGTGGTTTCCGCGAACTCCTCTCCAGTTGAGTGTTCTTCCCCACCAGCCTCCACAGCGCTCTCTGAAAGCTCTGCTCTTGTGGTAGTCACAGTTAGCTCTGAATCTGCTCCCCCAACAGCCCACATGTCCCCAGCTGTCACCTCAAAGGACTCTTCTGAAATACTGGCAGACCTCACAGCACTAGTAGTAGACAAAATAGAGGACACAGGAAGAAGACCTGGTCCCATGCTGCTCCCAAGGTCTAAGCCTGGAGGGACAGAGTCCTCCTCTTGCCCTCCTGGAGCTGCCTCAGTCACAACACCTGGCCTGACAGAAGCTGTGGAAAACAGAAGAGAAAAGGAGTCCTCTTGGCCCACTGGTTCAGATGATGTAACCTCTGGCTCCGAGGTTGGGAGGCTCTCCACTCCTCCTCTTGAGTGGTCTATAGGGAGCAGTCCCTCCTCTTCCTCCAGTGTGCTAGAGAAAGACGTGTGCAAATCAGGCTCAACATATTCTGCTGATGGCTGGACAGTGGCTGTTTCCCAGTTGTCCTTGACCTGTGTCCCATTCCCTTTCAGCAGGGACTTCTGAGATGCAGCAGGAAAGCTGTAATCTAAAAAGAGATCCAAGAGACTTCGTGTCACATCCTGAGTAACTGAACTCTGCAAGGCAGAGAGCTGGCCCCATTATATGTGTCTAGCCAGAGACGGGGTCAAATGGCAGAGACCTTGTAAGAGCAGGTAGTTTGCCACCAAAAAGAACAATCCTATCTGACAAGTGCAGTGCAACCTCCTGCACTTCCCCAGCAGCTTGTCCCATCCCAGCAAACCCACTTCCCCTAGGGATAATTCACATATTCATTCTCCTTTCTGACCTGAAAGTGTTTCCACAGTTCCTGCAAACAACAACTGATACCTGGAATCTCCAGGGTGAGGTTATGAATGTTAGGAATCAAGCTGGGATGCAGGGATTCATTCCACATGGGATTCAGAAAGATAAAGGGCAGTAACACTAGTCTGCCATGAGCTAAATGGGGAATACTAGGGAAGAGAAACAACAGCACAGCAATCCAAATCCTACTCTCTGGCACAGCCAAGTAACACCACCAAAACCTGAATCAATCTGGGTATCTCTGAAATGCAGAAATTCAGTTTGCACAGCACTTCGCAGCAGAAACGTCACCCCAAAAACATCTGCATTACAAGTTTTCTGTGTCACTAAGGAACAGTTTTGCTGCAGGGAAACTGAAGCCAGAAACGGGCCAAATCTAACTCCATTCCCTCCAACTTCAGTCCCAAGATGTTCCATGGCTCTGACCATGAATGCATGTGATGTTGTTGGACAAATATAGATGTTGAAGGAGAATGATGCACCTCACAAATGTAAGGTCAGAGCAGGCAGTGGCTTCTGGAAACACAGCAAGGAGCTGTGATCCCAGGATAAGGAGAGTATCTGTAAGATCAGACACGTTAAGCTCAGAGTGGCAGGCATAAACCCAGCAGGCATAAATCAACCTTCACCTTTCTTGAGAAATTGCCTGCACCCAAGGACTTCTGTTCCCAGAGTTTGCATCCCAAGTAACTTTTACTCTCCCCAAGATGAGCACGACACATACTCTGATTGAGCAAGAGAAGGAAGAGAATCCCTCCACAGCCAGAAATGAGCACCCTGCCCTGTCTATGGTTACTGTTATTAATAAGTGACTGTCTGAAATCCCCAAGGCCCCCATCTCCTCTCCTGCCTGCCAAAGCAGATGCTTCACTAAGCACAGTGGGCACCAGCTGTCTGGATGCCTTACAGAGGAGATCTGCACAAGGAATCTCTGTGCATCCCTGACTGCAATTCATCACTTGCTGCTGCCACCACGGGTGCAAGCTCCCAGGCAGGGAAGACCATATCAGCAAACACATCCTCTGCGGTGGATATTTCCTAGCAACCAGGTCTGCTCATGCTGCTCCTGTACACTCCTCTCCATCCCTCCTGAGTAGAGAGCCATGCTATTCCCTTCACTCTGAGCAGGAGGCACAAAGATGCTCCTGTTCAGCTGGCAAGTGCATTCCCCAACTCATAGCTCATTCCCTTCACGCTATCAGCCTCCCCCCAGGTGCTGCCTGAAGATGAGCATGATCCAGCTCATTACCTTCAGGGTCATGATGTGGTGACTGTCTTCCATTTCTGTAAACAGGCCTCTGAAATCTACTGACCACTGCAGGCAGAAGCAACATCTGCTCTGCCATGGGGTTTCAATAGAGAGCACTCATCCCGAGACTGTACCCAAAGACACTAAGGGTTAAAAGCTGACTGCTACCCAACGGCCTACCCTCAGAGGCCAAGGAGCCTGGTAAGAGCAATCAATGGCATAGAGACAAATAAAAAACCTCTTCCCTCAGCTGCCTAGCACTGCCAAAGGCCCTCACCAGCAGCTACACATCCCAGCATCTGCAGCGTCACTGCCTTGCTAGATGGATGGTGGGTAACTGCAGGAACAGGCACAGACCTCAGGATTGAGGACATTAGGTCAGGAGCCTCCGCAGGCAGATGGTCACAGTTCAGTGCATCTCCCAGGGCTCTACTGCTCCTCCTGCTGCAGTGGTACTCAGGATTTGCACCAAAACCACTAATCCCAGCAGGAACCATGCCTGCCCTGACGTGCTGTGGGTGAGAAGTGAGGGTTTCACCCCTTAAAACAAGGCTCTCTCAGATGAGATGTTATTTTCAAGACTCAGTGATCCAATATGCAATCTCCTTTGCCTAAAGACACTTTCAACTATTCTTGACTTCTCTGCACCTCCTCTCTTCCCTGCCCCTCTTCCCACCTGGAGGAAATCAAGAACTGGCAGATGGATGCAGTAGAAAAACAAACCAGGAAAAAGCAGCATGAGGTTTGCTTCACAGGAGCTAGAAATGCTCCTGGCCTGTCAGCTCTCCTCTGAAGTCAACACGTTTGACCTTTCCTTAAGGTGCTCTGTCACACATCAGCAGGCTCCTGTGGGGAAAAGTCCTGCATGGTGTGGCCATGCCTCCTTGCACAAGATCTGAGGATGCCAGACGGCATCTCCTCTGCCTCCTCTGCCATCTCTCCCAAGGGATGGAAGCTCAGGGAGAACCCATCCCACTCTCTCCCAGCAGACTTCTGTCTAACAAGACAATGAAACCTGAGCTACTCCTCTGGGCTAACAAATCAACAAGGCAGAAACACACACAGGAATCCTCACACTCACAGCTGATTAAGTTAACATTACCACTTGCCACCAGTTTCTCCAGTATGCTGCATTCTAACCTGCAAGCACTCTCTGTCTGGCTCATAAGACCTCACTGACTATAACCTCAGCTCCCCTCAGATCTCACAAAGGCTGCTCTTCAGATTTGCACAGAAAACAGTGAAACTCAAGGTGCTTTGCCAAAGGGATTCAATCACTTTCCAGGTTCAGGGATGGTGAGTCAACCCTTCCTTCCAAGTTTTCCAGCTAGACACGTAGCCCCTGTCTGGAACCACCTCCTACTGTGTCACTACCAAGAGGATCTGTCAAGTTCTCAAGATCAGGTCTAAGACACTAATTTTCTTTTGGCTTACATTCCTCTTCTAGGATTTGAAGGAATTTGTGCATCTCCTTGGTATGATCCCAGCCACTAAGCTGGTCCCAGCATCTTCTGCCCAAGGCCCTGTCCAGACAAGCTGGTTTCTGTTACTTATCTGTACAACACACAGCTGAGAGCCTCTCCACTGGAAGAGTGTCTTCTCAGCATTTGCCTCTATTCCTCTTCCCCCCAGCCCTAAGGGAACTCAAAGGGCACTTCCCACTTTTAATAACTCCTTCCACCATTCAACTAGCAATTCCCTTTCAGCAAGCAGTCTTCTAGACCCTGCAACTTATCAGCCCACCTGATTGTCCTCTACCTTCAGAAGACCCTCTATACCAGCCTTCCACACTCTGGTCACATGAAATGCACCCATAGGCCTTCCCACCTAACTATGCCAGTGCTATCCACACGCACAGCTTTTGTGGAGAGAAACAGCAAACATGAATCAGAGGGGCCAGACAGACTCCAGTGACCTGTGTTCCTGCTGCAGAAGTGGGGCAGGGTCTTCTGTAAAAGGAGACAGGTATTATGGAGCTAGCTACAATACCAGATTAATCAGGCTCATTTATCTGATCATCTAATTTAAGTAAGGAAGCAGAGCTATGCCAAAGAGAAGGGTGCCTGAGAAGGGAGGAGGTGGTAACTGCACACATCATGAACTCCCTTCCTACCATGTCTGTTCTAGAAGTCACCCACCAAGATCAGCAGTAGGTTGGAACACAAGAGGAACTTGTGGCCACACACAGAGGTGGCATGTGACACATACTCCTTCCAAACACAAATAACAGCAATCAATCCATGATGGAGCCAGACAGATCACAGAGAGGGATGGTTCAGAAGAAGTGACTGCTGGAGCCATGGAACTATCTCAGCATCTCTGGTCAAACAGTCTAGCAGGGACAGATCTGATGAGTGTAGCAGGCAGCCACAGCTCCACGTCATGTTCTCTCCCAGAGCTTCTCAGTCACCCCCTTGGGAGTCTGGTTCACCAATATGAAATTCCACACCTCCACCTCACCTCCTTGCCACCACATCCTTAGCTACACCCCTTAATGCTTTCCATCAATAGTGATATTACATTGCAGCTGTCATTGTCTCCCCCAACCCCCTCCAGCTTTTATCTTCTAAGCTCTCTTACAAAGACCCTCAGTCACTGTTTTCTACATAAATGATCTTGCACATCCCTCCTGCCACTCCAAGTCCTGCCCTTTGCATCTCCCGGAAGACCTAGGTCATGGTCACACAGATTCATGTCCTTCACCTGGGGAGATGTTTTGTCCTGCATGAGGTGAACACAAGCTCCAAACCTCTGCAAGGGCTGCCATATAGATGATGTCCTCCTTCCTCTGTAATCAATATCAAAACTTCCCTGAAACCAGTCAGGCCAACACCTGGCACTGTGCCAAAGCACAATTCCCCAGCCAGGTATTTAATTCATTACTTCTCTGCTTCTTCTTCATTCAGAAGAGCTGGTCTCACTTACTGCCCTACAAGGTTCTCTACGATGTATCTGCCACTATGAGCTGTTCAGAGCAGCTCAGACAAAAAGAGTGACTCTCATTGTTTTTAGTACACATAACCTGACCATAAGGTCTTTATTGGATTAAACTGGAAGATCATGTTAACTAGTGATCGAATCACTGATAACTAGAAGGCACTGTAATGAGGACACAAATGTTCCTGTGCTCCCACCACAACGCAGCCTGACACACTGCAGCACCTGCCAACTTCAGGAAGTGGAAGGTGCATTCTACTCACTGCTTCAAACGCAGCCAGGTGGAAGGTGGTATCTGCTTGCCATTTTGCAGTACAGAGCAGCAAGGCTTACTGCAAAAAGGCAAACTCCACCTGATTAAAACTGCAAGGGGATTTCAAGAAGGCAAAATGCAATTACTGGTGCTGGAATTGAGCCAGTTGAGGCTAAAATCCTAATCTTCCAGAAGAGCTAGTAGAAGTTACTATTTGCAATTGCAAGACAGGTCCACACATAGAAAAAAAGATCATAGTTAAAAGACAGACCCAGGGTAGCAAAGTGGTTACATCTCATTATACTTGGAATTCACTTCAGGTAGAGACTGGGCACTTATATGAGCTGCAGTAAGGCTAGAGTGAGCCACCCAAACACAGAGTTGGCTGGAGACAGCTGCACCAGAACAACACTATGCACAGAGAAACCCTCTTTGTTCCATGTCAGTCTTTGCCAGCAATGCCTTGGTTAAGATGGCTTGTCCCTAGGCAGATCACCTAATGCATTGGTCTACACCAAACCAGTGCGTAAACAAGAGGCATCCCAGGAGCTGAGCTCAGGCAGGGGCTGCTCAGCACTAAGCTCCTTATGCACACAGCCCTTACCAGGTGCTTCGTTTCATTAATGCTTGGGTTGAAGACAGTATTAGAACTGCAGATTTGCTGTCAGGCTGGATGAAGAGGCAGCAGATTTCAGTAAGGCTGAGAGAGACCGGGATCTCTCCGGCCAGAGGCAAGTAATTCATCATGGAAGGAAGCGAATTTCACTATGAGAGAAGAGTTGGGGATGGGAGACATTTTATCCCATTGGTCAATAAAAAAACCTTATTTTTCTTTCAATACTGTCCTAACTTGTCTGCCCTGCCATCCCTCATCCTAGCTGTCCTGGGAATCCCTACTGCTAATTACTATGATTAATTAAAAGATTACAATTACACACCTACCCCCCAACACCACATGCTGACCTAGTGAACCACCAACCTATAAGACTAGATTTGATAGCGCCAAGCACAGTCATGCATTGGTCTTCAAAGGCACAACCTTGGAGCTAAAAGAGCAGACCCCAGCTGTAATGAAGCCACCATCACACTGGAAGATGTGATGATGTGCTCCAGCTCTTGGAGACTCTGCTGTTGGGCAAGGGAGGAGAGGGACTAAGTGCCTTCATTCACCAGACACTCACAAGCATTGCATCAGTTTTTGAGAGCCCGTGCTTCCCAGCAAATAATGATTAGGCTACCTCAACCCAGAGCCTTCACTGGAAAGGGTGCACATGGGACACTGTGCTCTGACTGAGCCAAAGGAGAACACCAAGAGGTGCAAACCAGAGAGTATTTCAGGATGGATATGCTACCATGTAACTCTCTCACTAAAAATCAGGGATTCAAAGGGACCTGCAGCCCTAATGACTCCCATCCTCTAACCCTATAACTGGAAGAGATGTTGCATCTGTTGCCCAAAAAATCCAGTGTGACAGTAGTAAACAAGGGGGATTGGAAGCCTCCAGACAAAACAAGATGGAGAAGGTGGGAAGATGGGAAAGAAGGCTAAGGGTCAGATGCAAATCCCTGCAGATCCACTCTGCCTTCAGGAATGATCTGTGGCTTAGGCCAATTTGATACCAAAGGTGAAATAAAGCAGCCAAACCCAAACCACAGCCTGAGAAGCTTCTGGGTTCCCTGGAAGCCTGAAGGCAATAGGACGCAGAAGTAACAGGTTCACAGCTCCACTGACTTGCCTTTTAGCGAAAGTATGAGCCACATGCTGCTTCTTTCCATAAGGACAGGGCATCTACCTTCCCACCAGACCTAATCCATCCCTTCCAGATGCAGCTCCACTAGGTAGCAGCTGTGCATGGCTTAGTACACACACAAGCAAGCATGAACTTCCATGCACGCTCAGACAGGGTCCTTCCTCCCTGACACTGATTGGTGTCAATATGGATTTACTGTTCTGTAGCATAAATCAGCAAAAGCACATTATTCAGGAGAATGAGATCCCCAGGCTGAGCTGTGCTCTGCCAGTGGGAGTTTGTCCTCACTTTCTAATGTACTAACAGGTGGTCCTAGATGACACGTTTTCCAGAAATATTTTTAAAGGATGTTTGAGTGCACTTCAAAAAAAAAAAGAGCAGCAGCTGCAGATTGTTATTACTTTTTATCTCTTGCAACCTCAAAGTCACACAAAGGCAGAGGAGTCTCCCCACATAGACTTCAGAAGGACGTGAGAAGAAAAAAAAAAAAGATATGACTAATATAGCTTTGAAATCTCAAGAGATTTGGCCTATCTGCAACAAAACCAGCAATTCCAGACCAAATACATTTACACCAAACACAGAAAGAAGACAGTATAGATCTCCTTTCCTAGCAGAGTATTTTCTTTCTCTAGTAGTATAAAAATCCAGTTTTGTGCCTTGATTGACACAGAGTCTCGAATCTGTGCCTGCGACCAACTCTGCAGGGCTACACTCCACTGTTGTTCAGAGAGAAAAACCACATAAGGAAAACTTACACCATAAACTTTTTTTTTTTAAACAGCAGCTATTTGAAACTGTTTAATGGATTTATACGTTGAAAATAACCTAACAGATGTCACCACACAGTTCCACAAGGTATCACATGGCATCTGTCACACATGCAGCATGTAAGATCCATTGGTTGTGTGTACCTCTCATGCACAGGCTTTGCATGACAGGAGAAGGCTGTCCAATTTAGAGATGCTATTACAATATCCTTTATTGTAAAATGACACACAGCAGGTTTCTAATTAAATTTTAAGCAGAAATGGGCTCCCAGCTCTTGAATAATTTAAAATGTTCTATTAACCAAGGTTCTGAAATGCCATTGAGACATGAGCTCTGGACACAGCAACGGCCAGGGCGGGGGGAAAAAAGAGTGCTTGGAAGAACTGGAGTGGTTAGCTGGGCAGTGGATGGGGTACATGTAAAGGACAGCTGAAAGAGCACATCTGCTCATGGAGGAAAGCACTGCAGGCAAGAACGGAAGGAGAGAGGAGCATGTTCTGCATACAAATGGGGTAAGGCACGTGCAAGAGGCAAGGCTGGGTTTAGTACCCAGTGCATCTCGCTCTCAATGCACAAGCACATGCTGTTCTCCAAGTCACGTCCAGATCTGGGAGTACATGCAGGTGCCTGCTGGCACACAAATAAAAGCGCCGCTGAGCACACTGCCAGTGTGTGAGAGCAGCAGAGCCAGAGCATGGCCTGAGGATGTGCTGGTGAGAACAGGCACCATCTGCCCCCAGCATCGCTGTGGAGGCAACATCTGCACAGCTTCCCCATGGCCAGGCCTGCAAGTGCTCCAGGGACATGTGAGCCACAGGGCAGCAAGAGCACGGCCAGATGAGTTCAGCAGCAATGTTAGCGAGCAAAGAGCTTTGGAGACCTTAGCTGGGATGGCCCTTGCCCTGCAGAGCATGTACTGTGCCCCAGCAGGCATCCTGAGCCGTAGCACCACAGTGGCCCTCAGCCCTGGGAGAGCACAGGTCTTTGTTAAGGTCACAGAAATAGGAATGAAGATAAAACAAGACTTGTGCTTTTCAATTGCACACCTCAGTCAGATCTGCTGAGAGGAAGGCAGTGATATCAGATAAGGAAGGAGGGATAAGGCTGAAGCCTGGCCCCTGGGTAACACTTAATACATGTCCCACATGACACTTAAGAGCAGAAGCATGTGAAATAATCTCCTAAGCTACTGGAAACTCTGCAAATGCTCCTCCTCCTTCCTACCATCCCTCTCCCTGAGAACACCTCAAAGCCAACTAGGAGCTCAGGGGGAGATCACTGAGGGGATTCAGCGGTCTCAAAAAACAGACTACAGAGGAAAAGCAAGCTCAAATGCTAGCTAATTTTGGCCATGGCACCCCATGAAGCAGGTAGGACAGGATAAGCAATAGGGTAGCTGCCCAAGAGGCAAATTTGCTGTCTTCTCTTGGGCAAAATCCCTACTGAAGTCACAGACAAGGAATCCAGGATTTGGTCCAGGGAAACCAGCTTTGACTCAAATCACTAAGCCAGGGCCTTAAGACCTTTAGGTTGTGTGTATTTGACAGCAACAGAAAGAAGAGAGAGAGCAGAGAGGATAAATGGGAGAAGAAGAGAGAACAAATGGCACAAGACCATGGGAAACTAGGTGAAGGCAACACTTTTCCCAGCTCACAGCAGCTCAGGAATAAAGGCTCAGCTGTAACATGGTTTCTAAAGCCTGTGCTTGCTCAGGGTTCACTGGGGACATCAGGCATTGAGGTGAGAAAATAGAGCTGACGTTTAATCTCAGACCCTCTTAGCAAGAGCTGTGTCCAAGCAGGAAAATAGATCCTTGCATCCTTCCACCTACCTGCAGAGCAAAAAGCAAGGATGGGGGTAAAATAACCTACCTGTTGCTGGTCCCAAGTCCAGGCTGGAGTCATTGAGCTCTCCTCCATCTTCCCAGAAGTATTGTGGGGGCTGTAAGATCTTGGACTCCTCATTCTCCTCACTGGCAAAGCCTGATCCTGGAGCAGCATGCAGAGAGCCAGGGGCAAGATCAGGCTCCCCAGCCTCTGGGCTGGTTTGCTCATGGGAATTCATGGCCTCCAGGTGGGACATCATGGCAAACTCCAGCAGGGAAGTTGATGTGAGGCCATCGGTGGTTGGCTCCTCCGAGGAGGCAAGGCAGAGGCCCAAATTCCCTGTAAAATGACAGTAAACCCATATCAGAAATAGGACTGACACCTACTGGGCTTGTCTCCTTGCAGCCTGCTCCTGCCAAACCACCTGCCTTCAGGGTATCCCCCCCTCAGATGGGCTGTGCTCTCAGCTGATGAGGGAAATCAGGGCATTTTTTGAAAATCATGCAGAGTTGCATTCATGCCCAGGAGGTGAGGGTGCCAAGGAGCCATCCAGCCTGTGGGACCTCTCCTCAATGGGGCAGTGATGGTTCACTCTCTGAGGTTTGTTGCCTCTCTGAAAGGACTTGCCTTTTTAATCATCCATCCTGGAGAGGAGGTGGAATGTCATAATTAAGTAATGAAATTCTGGCCCTGTCAAGTCAATGACAGTTTCCTACCTGACTGTCACCCAGACAAGATTTCACCCAGACAAGATTTCACCCTAGAGCTCCTGATCTGCAGCTGTATTATATGCAGGGGGACTGATTTAAACCAAAATTATGTACATCACCAATATCAATCATGCTTTAAATTAGCAGGCTGATTTTAAGTCATTGATTTTAACCTCATTCTGCATTCACAATTTTTGTATTCCTAAGGGAGGGCTGACTGTCACAGGTAAGAATTAAAATGTGCTAACAGCAAACATCTACCTAACACTAGGAAGAGAGGCAGACTGCATTTTATACTTTTATTTCTGCAATTATATCCTTGTTATTTCCATTTTATCTATTAGAAGCTTTGACTGACACCTCTTGATTCCTAGATGAGACTTTAATTGTGATTTGTGTCAAGGTACATTCACATACATATTAAACTTCAATCAAAATGCAAGAAAACAGCACCTGGAACTTGGCTTTATTCAACCAATAAATAACATTATATATATGGAGACACAAGAAAAAAATGGGATTACCAAAACATGTTTTACACTTAAAACAGTTTTGTTAAGCAAGTAAAGTAAGTAATCTGGGTGAAATGCAGCAATTGCTTCCCAGCCCTCTTGTTTTTCAGCACATTAAAACAGGAAGATCCCATTTTCTGACAGCTGATTTTTATTCATAGTTTAGAAGAAAAAATGACAAGTTTTCCTGCTTTCTCAGCTCATACTCAGTTTCTCAGTTCTTAATGAACTAGTCATTGAACTGAACTAATTGAATAAGCTGAAATGAAGATTAATTTGGTATTTTTCTTTGATAACTGATTTTCCAGATGAGAAACGCAGCAGATCTAATCCACCTGGACACCAGTAAGCTATCTGATACAGTGCCTCATGCAGAATTGTAAGAGAGGCAGGAAAAGACACCAATTAGCAGGAAAACTGTGAGGCAACTGTAAGGCATTGGCTACACAAAAAATGACTGGAAGCTTTTGCTGGAGGGATGCTATTAGTGGAATTCCTCAAGGTCTGTCCTTGGATCTGTTGTTTTATAATATTTTCTTAAGTGACCTTGGAACAAAAATTAGGAACATGATAATTAAATTAGCCAAGGCCACAAAGCAAGGAGACATCCTCACTAGACAGAAAGAATGCAGGTACAGCTAGATGACTTTGAGAACAGAAGCAACAGAAATATTATTAAAAGAAGCAGTACAAAGTGATAAGCCACCACCTTGAGAACTAGCACCAAACATTTCTGATAGAAGATAGGAAACTATCCATTAGAAATGTCTTAAGAGGAGACATTCCTGTATTAGAAACGGCTCTGGACATCACAGGAGCACAGATGTGAAAATGCTTTCACAGTCCAGAAGTATTAGAAATAGAGAGATTTTACAAAGCACTGCTGAGACATCACCTGGATGCTGCATGCAGATCTGCATACACGTGGCCTGAAATGATTTAAGCAGAGCTGAACTACCTTCAGGCAAGGACACAGACCAAGCAAACTCCTGAGGTTCCTTCCCACCACTATATCCTACAACTCCACATCCCAGAAGGATTAATTCAAATGAGAGCAAGTGCCTAGATGAGCTATAGGACAGTGGCAGATGGATTGGCCCAGGTGCTTTCACTGAAAACATTGGCTTGTTGGCACAAAAAGTTTGGGAGTTGCTTCTTATTTGCCAGTCTGATTACCAAACCTGTCCTGGGAACACTGGAAGCCAGAAACACATTTTTCAAGCCTTCTGCCTGCTCTCACCCTCTCCATCTTCCTCTGATAATTTCTGAACTGAGTAAAATCTAATACTGGTTCCTCTTTCCCAGATACACTTGGGCCAGGCTTCAGCACTTCATCTTGTTTATTTTGTTCTATTGATCCAAGGCAAGACTGGCTGAGGCCAGTGCAGCAACAAAAAGGGAACAGCAACAGAGGCATCATATGAAAGGGGAAGGAAGCTACTGCAGCATCACAGAGCCAACCAAGGAGCCTCTGGGCATCCCTGGGGATAGGCTGGCTCCCTGTGAGCTGCACATGCACTGTGAAGGCCAGGCAGGAAAAGGTGAAGAGCTTACACATCTCATGTGTGAGCATGGATCCAGAGAGACCTGGCCAGGCCAGTCCCATGGCAATTCAGTGGTGCTCACCAGGCTCCAACATGATGGTACCCCCAAGCCTGACACAAGACACCTGCATCACTACTGGAGAGCACTACTGTGCCTCACAGACCCCAGTGGAGAGTACCTGTCTTGAAGAGCTTACAGCTTAAGCAAACATGACTGAGAGCAGCAAGCGGGAGAAATGGAACATTATTCTTGAAGTAATCCCAAAAAGAGAAGCAGAAAGATGGGGAGAGATCACAGCAGGTCCAAGGCGACATGGGAAAATCAGTGTAGTTGGAACTGCAACTAAGGGCCTGGATCCTACATCAGCTCTTTAACTGCTCCAATGCCTCAGTTTCTCCCAGCTCCCATTAGCAGAGACACGGCTGATGTGATGCCTTCCACTTCCAGCCACACTGCAGCACATCCCAGGTCTCCCAGCTAGCTAAAGCCTCAAAATGTAACCCTGTGCCAGCTTCAAAGACTGGCTCGAGCCTCTCTGTTTCCATCAGCTCCACCCTGTTTGAGCTGCCTCTAGCATCCAACTGCAGCCCGTCCCACCATCTCTGTAACAGACTTCTCATAGCAAGTGAACCTGGGCACCCAAAGACCTAATCCTATCCATGTGGGAAGCTCAGATCCTAGGAGTTTGTTTACCCTCATTTAACTCTGAGGTGTTTACCCAGTTAAAACCCCCTAAGCTGCATTATCTTGTTTACTGGAATACTCCTCAGCCCAAGATAAAGCTATACCACCTCATCCCTAAGAATGAGTCATTAATAGACACAGCCTGAGCAAGCCAGGTTTCTCCTGGGATGGATCTGGAATAAGACAACACCTTGGAGCCTGATCCACAGGCACAGGATGCAGAGGCTGGCCTGAGGAAACCCTCTGAATCAGCACCCTCCTGAATGCCACAGGGCTAGCAGCACCACTGCACCAGTGTACACACCAGCACCCCTCCAGGCAGCATCCTGACACCACTTTGTATCTTTTGCACCAGCCACAAAAACTCTCGGCAGTGGGGTGCCGAACAGCAGACCCAAGATTTGCCAGCTTCCCCGTCTTCCAAGCATCTCATAAAGGAGCTCAATGCAGCTGCCAACTGTAAGGCAAAGAAATAATCAAAGCATGAACTGGGAGGCAGGGGAGCACAGCTGAGAGAGGGAACCTAACACCCAGGTCATGGGTGGCTAGCCATTTTCCTCCTGGGATGGGGAATGGGGATTAGACAACTTCTATCAGCCCCCAGTCTCCCAATTTTGTATTCAAAAAGCAGACCAAGCGATAGAAATAAAGAAGCACAAACGAATAAGGGCCTGTGACTTTAGAGTCACATAGGGAGGGAGCAGGGAACAGAGCCAGGGCTCCCCAGCTGCTTCAATGGGGCATTTGTCTCTCATTTCTATTTTTGCGGCACCTCTGCGTAACCTGGAGGGGATGAAGCTCTGCATGCTAAAGAGGGCAGCCAGCCTTTGGGGAAACAGCAGGGCTGTGAGCACGGGAGGAAAACCCCTCCCCAGATCAGAGGAGAGGTAAGAAAGGAAAGAAAGTGGGAGAGGTAGGTGAAGGGGGAACAGGGAGCAAAGGCAGAGAGGGAGCACCAAAACCAGCACGGGAGTTCCTGCGCTTGCCAGCTGCTGGCACCCACAGAAGTGACACGTGGAGGTAACACTGACCTTGCAAAGGATGCTTCACCTCTGTAAGCAGCAAAATGGGGCAATTTCAACAGAAGGAAATGATACTGCAGTATTACTTTTCCACTGGAAAAGAGCCAGCAGGGAGGCTGGCAGATGAAACAAGTTTGCTAGTTGCTGACCCCACAGGCCCCTCAGAAAACAGCTCCAAGTGGAAGCAGCAAAGCCTACTCTGTTCAGATCAGCAGAAGATTCAAGGCAACAGCCCCAGACAAGGCATATGAGGGAGTTTCGCTCAACAACAGGAAAAAACAATTACTGGAGAAAAGAAAACCTGCCATGTCTCTCCCAAACTGCTGTGAATAAAAGCAGATTCACATTTTTTAAATAACCTCAAAGCATTTTCTACATTAGCTGTCCAAGAACCACTTTGTCTCTCTGCCACAAGGCAAGCCATCTCTCCCTGGAATGGGGCAGCTGCCTAAAAGCTCCCAACTGGCCTATTGAATAGGACTAGAAGAGAAAGAGGAAATGAATCCTTCTTGTGTCCAGCTGAAATGAGAGGAGGGATTTGGGGAGATGAAACAGAATCTGGCTGTGACTGTGTGAGAGTGCCTTCAAAAATTTTCTTGCTCTTTAACAACAAGCAAACCTCAATCTTCTCTCCACAGAAATACACAAACATCCTTTAAAATGTCATCATATCAGCTTGACCTATAGAGGGACTGGTGTTCCTTTCTGACCAGCTGAAGGCTGGTTTTGCCTTCCTGGGTGCTGTGGCTGAAGCACCCTGCCAGGGAGGCAGGATCAGCCTGCTGAAAGGAAGAGCACCCTCCTAGAGTGCATGAGCTGACTCAACCCGCTTCTCACCACCAACCAGCTGAGCCTATACACCATCACCCAAGCCCAGTTACACAATGGGTACCAGAGAAGGGGGTCAGAGCATCTCGGTATTGCCAATGCAGCAGCCACAACAATGTCCATCTGGCCTTGCTACCGTTGACCTTCCTTTCAAGCCCACCCCAAACCCAGGAGTTACCCAATAATGTTATTTCCTAGGAGAGCTGGGTCAAGAATGGGTCACTTACTGATAATTGGTTAGGACAGAAACACAATGACCAGATGAGGGAAGCATCTGCCAGGGATATTCCCTCCCCCAGACCACTGTGCTTGGAAAAGCCAGGGAGCAAGGCCCAAGGGCAGGGAGGAGAGAGGCCCCAGGGCAGAACAGCAAACAGCACCAACCACTTGCAGAATGTAACAAAACACGAAGTGATTTGAATAACAAAAAAGGATCCCAGCCACAGACAGTAGAGGAAGAGGAAAAACTGAATGTTGTTCAGTTGAGGGATGTTTGAGCTGATTCCTCCATGCTCATCTGGAATCTCTGTCCCCTTGACCCTTAATAGCTTACACAGGGAAACACAAGGGATGACTGTATATCAGACCAAGCCCTTTTGGTGCTAAATCAGAGTTACAAACCATACCTGTGCTGGGACACTCCGCCTAACAGATGTCTCTCAGCCCAGCTCCCATGCAACCTTACTGCTGCTCTAGACTATTTACAAACAAACCCAGCCAAGTCTCTAATCTCTGAGATAATTTCCAGTTAGGGCTTCAGAAAACAAGACAAGACTGCCATCCTCCTCTGGTACTGCCAGCAAGGAGGTCCCTCACCAAGCGTCTCTCTAAAACTATCCACCACATTTTACAAAGTGACAGGAAAAGCACTCAGGTCTGCAGGAGCACATACGCTTACCAACCTGCACCAATAAGAAGGACAAGGCACAACTGAGGAACCACTTGCAATGAGACAACTCTTCAGAGGGAGGTTCTAGAGCACACAGTAGCATCTTTCAGCTTTTACAGATCTTCACAACTAGCATAACAAGGGAGCTCAAACACCACGCTACAGGGTGCGCATGCTTGAATGTCCTGAGTGGGTGCTACCTAGCAAAGAACTGCCAACATTTGCTCCCCTGGCATTTCAGTAGAACATCTACAGCAAATGGATCCAGGTATATCCATGGGCAATGGCAAGGCACTGCCAGAAGACACACCTGCTTTTGCAGATAACTGCAGATGTGCCCTTTATCAGCACACATGCACCAGGGGCCTGACAAGGGATGTGAGGCATCCTCAGCCCAGCAGAGAAGAGTTACAATCAGCAACATCAGGACTACTCCAAGCACCACCACCCATCTCCACAGAACAGATTCCACACAAGCAAGTCACTGCAACTCAAATCCTGTCTGTCATTTCCCCCTTCGCTAAACCATTCATGCCAGGAGTAACAATATTGTTTGGTTTCAGTCTCCCAGACTGTTTTCTTCCCTCCCCTAATCGTCTCGAAGCTTTCACACCTCCCTCCTCTGCTGCTGCAGTGTCTGCTCTCCTCTGAGCTTCTCGATATCGACAGAGGCAGCACCCAGCTTGGGATGGGAGATGCAGTCCTTGGGGGAACAGCATCAGGTAGGCAGTTGTGTACATCAGAAGTGAATTTTCTTTCATCAGTTACCTTTAACAGGCCTCCTCAAAGCAGCCCACAGGCCTCCAGGGGTTAACAGACCACAGGATGAAAGCCACCGATCTAAGAGAAAAACCACAGCCCACAGATTCCTTCACCCTCTCACAGGCCCAAAGCATTTCATCTGTCTGCTAAAAATCACCTTGCCAGGCCTGTGTTTCCTCATCTTCCTCTGTCCCAACCTGGACTGTGCACACCATGGCGCTCAGTCTCATTTCCAGCACACCAAAAGCACATGGCTGCTTCCACTTCAGAGCCCTCCCACCAAGGCAGAGCTACTGCAGACACAGGAGGGACTTTCCTCAAGACACAGTTGTTTGTCAAGCACAACAGAAGCCTTTTACATTCCAAAAGGTATCTAAAATACACTAGGCACAACACAACAGAAAACAGTTATGCTGTGCTCCAGCCCCTGCAGCAGAGCAGTGACAACCATCCTGCCAACACGCTAGCTTGCTGTGCAGTCTCACCCCTGAGAGGCTCCACTCTCCAAACAACCTCATGCATCCTAGGGAGACAAGCTTTTGCAAAGGTTTGGTAGTCCCAGGGCACACATATGGATCCTGACTTCATGACACATCAGGCAGGATAGAAACAGCCGAGAGTGGTCGTGGTTGTCATATAGAGGGAGGGCTACAAAGCTGGATACCCAACAGGGAAAATTATCCCCAAGCCAAGAATGTACATCCAAACCTTGGTAACCACAACGGAGCTTAACCAGGCAAGGGGACAGTGGGGGGCTGATTCAAGCCCCAGCAGGGTGTATCTTCTTTGCCAGCATCCCTGGCCCTTTGAACAAACCAACATGTGTTTGCTTTGCCTCTGTGCGGGCCACGCGCGTGTGCCTGACAAATACCCTCTCTCCATTCTTCTGGGATTACGTGTTTCCATAGCCAGCAAGAGCTGGAAGTCCACCCGTCTGCCAGCTGTGGGCTGTGAGGCACCTTCCTCACAGCCCCTCTTCCCCTGGCCCTGCAGCAGGGCTGCCAAGGCTGCTGCTGCTCCCTCAGGTACCCACAAAATGCCGGAGCTTCTTCCCACACTGAGTGAGTGGAAAAACTTTCGTGTGCTCTGATTTGCAGCTCGTCACCAGCAGCTTCCCCTTGAGGGCTTAATGTACTTATTTCTACCCCTAATGCCTATAATTAAATGAACGTTTCCTTATGGCACTGAAGAGGCCGAGGAAAAACTGACTACAGGGAATTTTCATCCGTTCTGATTTATACTCCCTCAGCTCAGGCCCGTTCACACAATGCTAACAAGGAATCTTCTAAGCAGGCAGAAGGGAAAAAAACCACAACTTAAACAGCCCAGATGCAGACAAGCACCTGGAGAGACAACAAGAGGGAAGAGACCAGTTCCCTTCCTTCTTCCCCTGCTTTCAACCACATCATTTTCCTATTTGCAACTCAGATACCCTAGAGCCTGGAAAGGTGTTTCCACATTCTGCCAGTAGTGCTAGGACCCCAATGCTTCCCAGCTATCTGCTAGGACCCCGACAACACGCAGGTCCCATTTCAGCCCATCCTGCAGATCTTTGAGGCTCCAGATCCTGGGAGGCACTGCAGGAAGCATGCCTCTCGCCCAGCATCTAGGAATCTTGCTCAGTCCCTCCAGCTCTTTCTCAGGTTTTAAGTGTTCCTGTTCTGTGGGGCCAGAGGAGTGAGGCTGGAATGCACTGAATTATTCCAGGCTGGAATAGCTGAGCAAAGCCACTAACCAAAATGGGGCATGATTTATAAATTCCCAGCAGCCTGCATCTCAACTTCTGGCCTCTCATCTAGGTACAAGTCCAGGTGTCTGGAGATGCCTGACAAACTGAGTCCAGCCCCCAGAGCTGCCACAAGCCACCAGGATTACCATTTTCACTAGATTAGGGACTGAGCTGCCCCTCAGAGCTGCTGCTTGCATCCCATTCCTACACCTGTCTCTGCTAGGACAGGAGGGGATCACAGGGAAAGGCAAGGACCCAAATCCTCCATATCATCAGAAGCTGGACAGCAATTCTAGTAAGTTTCCAGCAACCTCAGCAGAATAGGAAACGTATCCTCCCCTGAACATAGCATTATCAGCCGTGGTTCTTTCAGCTGCCAGATTTTTAAACCACCACGAGGTCAGTCCCCCTCCTCTGCAGAGCAAATGTCGCTTTCTAGTGATGGGGATGGGGCCAATCTGTGCCAGCAGATCAGCAGGGTGAAAACACGGCGATTGTCCCCCATGCCCCTTGCTTCCCTCTACGGAGGAGGCAGAGGTCTGGCTGAATTTTGGGATATGGGTCTCCTGCTGAGATGTGGCTAAAGGACATCTGCTAGCCACACCAAAGGTTTGCCCTACCGTGGACAACCTGCCCAAAGCAGGCCACAAGACTGGCTCCCTGCTCAGCTCTGGAAAGGCTTATTGCTTTTCTGTGCCACGAAGTATTGGCACAAAACCCCAACAGGTTTTATGATCCATTTTGCTCTTTAAGCTCACTATTGTTTGCAAATCTAAAAGGCTTCATCCCTTCCCTTTAGGGAGCTCCAGGCGACAGGGGCAAGGCACTGTACATACAGCTCACGGGCACAGCAGCTCCACAGATGACACATTCCCCCACAAACATTTTTGGGAGATTGGGGCAATAAGAGAGATGTGCCAGGGGGCTGGATATCACTGTATTGCAGCTTGGTAGTGCTGGAAGACAGTGACTGGTTGGGAAATCAGCCCTTCCCTCCCTGCCAGAATGACTCAAGACAAAGACTCCCCCACTCTTTAAATGTCCCCGTTCAAAACTCCTGTTCCACACCAACCAGATTTCTGTACAAAAGGGATGGGGGGAGGGAGAGGGCAATCTCAGCCTCACTGGTCTTTGGGGGGCTCCCTTTGTTGGAAAATCTCCCCCGACTATTTAAAAATAGAAGCAGAGCCTTCATAACGATCCCGACTATAATTATTCCTGCACTTAATTGCCTTCCCCTGGCATCCTACCTCTCCTCCAAATTTCAAGAGGAGGCTCTTGGGGAAACGCGGAGCAATTTGCGGTCGCCCCTTCCTTTGTGCCAGTTTCGCGGTAGTTAGCAAAATTACCACGACGCCAGACGAAGCCACGGCCAGGAGAGCAGG